CAGCCTGTAATGTTCTTGATAAAGCAAAGCACCAATGACACAGCTGAAAAACATCAGCAGAGCAAAGAGCAGTGCAAGCCTCCCTGGGCTTCCATGTGGCACCGCTCCATCTTGGACCGCGTGCTCAGTACAGCTCGTCCAGCTTCAGCTGCTTGCGGTGTTCTCTGGTGCTGGGGAGGCCTCTGGTGCAGACTCTTGGCTCTTCTCTGATGCGCCCACAGTTGTGTTCTCCCCAGCCCTGCGATGTTTTCAGACCCATTGAGGCTCCTCTGTACCTGCAGCCACTTGTGGATCTTTCAGCCTGTTTGGTCTGCACCTGAGCTGACACCAGCAGCAACCACAGCTCTGCAGGAGCAGGAGGTGCCAGAGCGGGTCTGACACGTGCCCATCTTCTAACCCCTAATGAGGTCCCCAAGCACCGGTGATGCTGCTGGACACCAGCATGGGGATGATGCTGAGCGCATCCCTGCACTGCTCCAGCCTGAGCTGCTGCCCCGCAGCCCCCAGGCACCTTCACACCCCAAACAGTCCTTGCTGGAAGGCACCTGCAGTTACCCCACATAGCAAACCGTGCTCACACGTGCTTCTTGCAGCACAGGGAGCCTCTTCATGTGCCTCATGGACACATGCTCTTTGGAGAGCCTCAGCTCAAGCCTTGGTGGGGTGCTGAGCATCTCAGCACATCCCCTGGCCCCATTTGCTTAACACAGGAGAGGGGCTTCAGCTTTCTTTATCAACCTTTCTCAATGTTTTTCACCATGAGAACGACCCTGGAGTAACCTCCCCAGGGAAGTGGTGGATTCCCCAGTGCTGGACACTAAAGATTACGGCTGGGCAGGGTGCTGGGACACCTAATCTAGATCATGCTTTGCCTAGAAAGGTTGGTTATCCCTGAGGTCCCATCAGACCTGGTGTTCTATGATTCCATGAACCTTGGCACCTCCGTTGAGTCAGGAAGCACCGTGGCCAAGGCTGGGGTGCAGCCCCACTCAGGTGGGATTCACATGAGCTTCCCATATCACTGTGATTACAGAGGAATTCATCCCTCAGCAGCTTTCTCTGGAAAACAGCACGTTAAAGACTTGGGAGCAAGGAGAGGGCACAAAGCCAGCGCAAAACCCCTTGGGTTTACCCCTTCCTGCAGCTCCACCAGTTTCATTGTCCCAGCACTGCTGCTGGGTTCCGGTGGGATGACAGCAATGGAGATGCACTCTTTAGGATGAGGAGATGAGTTCCTACCCCAGGAAGACCCCGGGAGGAGATTTTGGAGTGATTCCTCAGCTGGTGATGAGACCTTCCCCAGGAGGGTATAAGGCAAGCTCTGGGAACCGGGGGCCCTCCAAAACCCCTCCAGTGACCAGGGAAAGGCTCTGGTTGGAAGAAAACTGGGAATTACACAGGGAAGTGGATGAAGTCGCAGCCCCAGTTGTGCCCAGGCTGCCTGCACATACACACACCTTCAGCATCGGCCAGGAGCAGCAGCACGATGACGGCCCTCGGCTCGGGGTGCTCTCCAGAGGATGGGGTGTATGGATCGGCACCTGCCCTTTCAACCAGCAACAGGGAGCATCGATCGTGCCCCGCGCCTGTTCTTTACCTTGTTGGTTTACCAGCTCTAATTTAAGAACTGGATTCAAAAGCCATCAAGGGGGAGATCAATAGCTCTTTACACATCCCACCAGTGACCATGTCTGGGCACGGCAGCTGCAGCAGCTGGAACAGACTCGCTTTCCACATGGATTTTAAAGGGATTAAATCCTGGTGGAAACAAAAACACGGTGGAAAAGGAGCTAAGAGTGAAGTCAGCTCCAGCACAAACCCCATGGGTCAAGGTCAAGCTGAAACCTTTGATTCCCTGAAGCTGAAACCTTTGATTCCCTGCCTTTGGATGTGGGTGTTGGGTTTGGAGGATAAAGGATGCTCCCACCTTCAGAAAGGCCTTCAGAGCCCCACAGAATGTGTCTCACGGGCTGGATTACATTAACTTGGTGCAACATGATGACAAGATGGCATTAGGATGTGGCTAGTTCACTTTTCCACATCAGCCACCACTGGGCTGATAAAAAGCTGCCCTGTGCTTTAGCAGAACACCTGATTAAAACCAGACTCAAGCGGGATTAGGGGCCACATCTCCGCAGGTTCCACATGCACCTGAAAACAAGCCCATTAGTCATGAGGACACCCAGCAATTGCGCATCCGTGCAGTCATTCACAGCTTTATGGCAAGTCATGAGATATTTGGTATTTTCCTTCCAGCAAACAAAAGCAGATGATTAAGGAAGAGGCGCAGCTTGCTCGCTTTCAGGAGGAAAACAGCTTGCAAAATGCAACGCTCACAGCTTCAATAAAGCTCCAGAAAGCAAATAAACAGCCTGGCTGCGAGGAGAGAGCTCCCGGTGCCCTGAATGTTAAGCCAGATTTGGGATTCAAAGGGGGAAAGGACGGGGATTGCCTCCTGCAGAACTGGCACCGGCGAGAACGTGGTGAGGGTGCGGAGAGTGCAATGCGGAGAGATGAGTGCGGCAGCCCCAGCCGGACTCTTGAGGCTGTGAATGCACCAGAAACTCCATAGAACCACGTAATGGGTTGGGTTGGAAGGGACCTTAAAGCCCACCCGTTCCAACCCCGGCCATGGGCAGGGACACCTTCCACTAGAGCAGCTTCTCCAAGCCCCATCCAACCTGCCCTTATCTCAAGTGGAAAACCATTTCCAACCGGAAAACCTGAAAGCAAGCAGCTGAGTTTCCCCCTTCTTCTTACTGTTATTATTATCCTCATTATTTTCATCTCCAAAGCCATTTTTGCCTCAGGCACCGTGGTTTTATACAAACGCTTCCCTCTCAAACATAAAAAACCCCACCAAAACCCCCCCATCTATTTGCAGATGGAACGATGTTCTGTCAGATATTTCCTGGCCACCTCTCCATTCCATGCCAACGCTTCGCAGGGCTATAAATGACAGTCAAGCAGCAAATTTGGTCCCTGAGATTTGCAGCCGTGGCAGAACAGCCCCCTACGTGCAGGCTTGAAACCCCCCACTTCTTTTACACTTCCCTTCACAACTCTCTCTCGGCTATAAAATATAGATGGGGGCATCGATTGCTCTAGATCAAATCTCTCTCCCTTCAAAAACACAGCTTATCCAGAAATGCAAGCATCCTAATTAAGAACATGGTGGAGTTGAATTGCAAATGAATCAATTCCTTCCCCAAAAAAACATTATAATAAATAAAATAAATCCAGTCAAGCAAGACCAGAATGGGATGGTTAATAATTGATATTTACATTTCTCCCATGTCTGATCAAAGGATTTGATTGCATGACAAATGAGGAAATTACTGTAAAGTGTTATACATCCATTAAGGAGATAGATGCAGCAGATAGGATGCGGGTGCTGTGGTGAGGCTGTGTTTGCCACCAGGCTCTGCATCCCTTTGGGAAGGAGCTGCCCTGATGGGGACAGTGGATGTCTTCCGGATGTGGAAGTAAATAACATCCCTGTTCTACAAGAGATGCTGCAGGATAGGATGGGAAGGAGCATGCACAGCTGGAGACTCTTCCAGGACATGAGACAATGGGGCCGGATCGTGCAGGAGCACGTTGGGCACCTTGTAGCTGGTCCTATAGGTCCCTATGGGCTCTTGCAGACTTCTATGGGTCTCTATACATCTCAGGAGCTTCTATGGACCCCATGTGTCCCTCTGGGCTGCTATAGAAACCCACGCATCCTTACTGGCTTCTGTAGACCCCTTGGCTCAACAAGCCAAGTGAAACAAGCAAAATCCCACATCTCTGCCCGCGCCCCGAGACTCCTCAGCTCCTCTTGGCCCCCAGGATCATAGAACCAGGAATGGTTTGGGTTGGAAGGGACCTTAAAGCTCACCCAGTTCCACCTTCCACCAGGTTGCTCCAAGCCCTGTCCAACCTGGCCTTGAATGCTGAAGAAGAAGAGAAATAATAACGTTTCTGTGCCGGATTTGGCCAGAATGGTTAAAACCCGGCTTTGGGCTGACATTTGGTCAGCGTGAGGAGGCGCGATGGGATCAAGGAGAGTCATGGAGCAGCAGATGGGGAAGTGGGAGCTTGCCCTCGGGGCCAGAGCACCCGTCTGCCTCGCCAGGGACGTGGCTTTGGGCCCCGGCACGCTCAGGACCTCCAACAAGGGGAATGATAATGAAGTGATTCCTCCAATTCTCTGCCATTTCTCTGGAGCATCACCTCTCCAGTGGGAATGGTGTGGGAGGGGGAATAGAGAACGGGAAGAGTGGGGAAGGCACTGAGATGGGGAATAGTTCAAATATGGGGAAAACATTAAATATGGGAAATATACTGAATACAAATGATACATTAAATATGGGGAATAACTGGATATGGAGAATATACTAAACATGTAGAATATATTGAATACGTGTAATAAATAAATATAGGGAATATTTGAATCTGGGAAGGCACTAAATATGGGGAAAATGTTGAATATTAAGAAAATATTAAATATGGGGAATATATGGAGCATGGCACACATATTGAATATAAAGAATATGCTAAATCCGAGGAATAAATGAAGTATGGGAATACATTGAATACGGGGAATAACCGGAGGTGCAGACTATGAGACGCGATGGATACACCCCAGCGGTGGGTGTTATCCCCACAGGTGCCGCGCTGAGCGGAAGGCGGGGGGGTGCGGGTGGTACCTTGAAGGCAACAGGTTGAACGGGGGAAAGATACTGATGACGTCAAACAAACGGGACATTGCAAACGGGGAACGGACCGGGATGGGGGGGCTGGGGGGGGGGGGGGCATCACCGGGTCCGCTCCGCGCTGCTCGGGGGGGGGCTTTACGCGTGGCCACGCCCCTCGCCTCCGCGGTGACGTCACCCGCGGCCCCCCCCCGCTTCAAGGTGTGTGTGTGTGGTGTGTGTGTGTCCCGCCCCGCGGTGACGTCAGGCGGCCCGGGGAATGACGTCACCGGTGCGAGTGGCCGGCGGCGGGCGGGAGCTCGAGCCGCAGTGTCCCCGCGCCGCGGCCCCAGCGCAGCCGCCGGGCGCAGGGAGGAGGCGGAGGAAGAGGAGGAGGAGGAGGAGGGAGGAGGAAGGAGGAGGAGGAGGAGGAGGGCGGCCGCGGCCCTTCCGCGCCCCTCCGCCGGCCAGCATGGGAGCGGGCGGCCGCGGCGCCAGGTACGGCGGGGGCGCGGTATAACGGGGGGGGCGCCGCGGCGGGGCCGCTTTGTGTTGCGGTGCGGCTGAAGGGGCCGCGTTGTAACGGGGATGGGGATGGGGGGGGGCGCGGGCGCGCACCGCCCGTGGTCACAACGGAGGGGAGGGGCGCGTTATAGCGGGGAGGGCGGTGTCGGCGCGGGGGGGCGCCGTGGCGGTGCAGGTGGAACGCGCTGGGGTAAGGGGGGGGTAGCGAGGGGGGCGCTTGGGAGGGGTGCGGCCGGGTGGGGGGGTCCGCGGTGTAGCGAGGGAATAGGGGTGGGTGGCATCGGAGAAGCGGGGGTGCCATAGGGGGCTATGGGGGGGTGCGTGGGGCTGCGCCGTGAGAAGGGGCCGCGCTATAGCGGGGGGCGCAGGGAGGGGGCGCGGTGGCCCACGGTGGGGGGTGTGCGAGGGGGGCGCCGGTACCGAGGGAGCACCGGAGGAGGCGGCAGCCTCCGCCCCGCGGCCGGTTCGCCCTCCCTGTGCCCCCGCCGTTATCCCCCGGCTCCCCCATCCCCGCCGTGCGCGCCCCTCACCGGCACCGCTCCCCCGTGTCCCCCTGGTGTGAGGTGCCCGGTGCTGCGGTGACCGCGGGGTTCGGGGTGTTCCGGCATCACCCCTGTGCTAAGGACCTATGAGCAGGGCTGGGGGGGACCCCGTGCTGGCTGGCGGGGAAGTGTCCCCTCTCGGTGGCATCGGTGGCTGGTGGCTCCGGTGATGACGGCTCTGGTGGCGATGCTCCGGTGGAGAAGCCGGTGTCGTCTCCCGGAGAAGCATCACCGGGATGCGGGTACCGGAAGAGATGGAGGAGACCCTGGAGCGTTCCCTTGGCGCTGGCAGGGCCGTGCCGCAGCCTGGGGATGTGGCTGTGTTCCCCCGGGTGCTGCCTGCACCCCACCTCTAATCCTGGTGCCCCTGGGGGTGCTGTGTCCTCCCCACCCGCTCCGGAGCCTGCCCCGCTCCCCTTGGCTGTGCAATGTCCTGCTGATGGTGACAGTAGCGAGGAAGGGACCCAGGTCACCCCGAAACAACCCAAGACCCCACTTTGGGGGGTCCCCTTCCTTGCATCAAGCCTTCTCCTGCAAGGTGGAGCTGGCTCCGAGGGCCACCCCTGGGGCTGGCAGTGACGGCGTTGCCATCCACCCACCGGGATTTCTCTGTGATTTCAGCTGAAATCCCGAGCCCTGGGGCCATCCTGCGGTAGCGAGAGCTGTCCCTGGAGCCCCGGTGTTCCTGAGCCCGAATTTGTCACATGGGGAGCGATTCATCCCCCCGAAATAAGGGTAACGATCGATGGTGTTTGTGTTTCACCGGGAGGATCCCGTTCCAGTCCTTCCTGGGGAAGCAAAAGGTGGGATAATGGTAGGAAACAGTCGTGCTGGTGAAGGGCTGACACCCATGGGGAGGTGCTGCACCCCCTCAGGGTGGGGACAGCTCTGCTCTTCGGCTGTTTGTGCTCTCCGAGTCCCGGGAGGCTTCGCTTCCACGGAAGCAAAGGGAGGAAGAAGCGGGTTTTGTTGGGAGGTTCCAGCCGTTCCTCCGAGCGGGAGAGCCCAGGGGGGGGCAATGGGATGCGGGTCTGGAGCATCCCCTTCCCGCACAAACCCCCTGCCTTTGCAGGAGACTCACACCTCTGCTGCTGCCCGCAGCTCCGGGGCTGCCAGCGCTGCCTCGCAGCTCCCTGTGTCCCCAGCACCAAAATAGGGTGGATTTGTGTTTTCTTCACCTAAAAACCATGTTTTGGGGGTTGGGAACCTGCGCTGGGCTGGGGGAGCCGGTGGCATGACCGGGAGCAGGTCCTGCTGGGGGAAATGGGGCTGCAGGAGGTCCTGATGGGGGGGAATCAATGTGCATTGGGGTCCTGAGCATGAAGGTAGGTTCAGGGGGCAGGGTCCTTGAGGGGGAGGTCCCCCCCTCCTCCTGCCACCCCGGGGGTGGGAAGCTGTTAATTGTTCCTTGCCAGATTGACTTGGAAGCTAACGAGCTTGCTGGCACTCTCCTCCTCCTTCCTGTGCGTGGTGAGGGCCCATATTTCCAATGGGAAAATGTCATCAATACTTTGAGTAATGCGAGAGGAGCTTCCAGCTGAAGCCACGGCACCGAGCAGCGCGGGGGAAGAGGGGTCCCCCGCTGCGGAGCCGCTCGGACGCTGGGGCACAGGGCGGTGGAGGTGATGGGGAGCAGGAGGTCCTCGGGACCTGCTGGAGTTGTCTTGGGCATCAGCCCCGCTGGCAGGATGGGGTCAAGCCCTTTGTGTCCCATGGGGCTCTGTCCCCTGGTCCCGGAGCTCACAGGGAGTTAGAAACGTGAGTTCAGTGGATGCAGCATCGTCCCGGGGTGTCTCATCCATGGGGAGCGGGATCGCTCTGCTGTTTGTCTGGGTGCTAAGGAATAACACATTCCCTAAGGAGAAGAGGGAAAACATGCCTTTGCTTTTGCTCCAGGAGGGTGGGTTCTTGTTAGACCCTTAATTCTGCTGCTTCTGTGGGGGGAGATGCGGCAGTGAGGATGCAGTCACCCGAGGTGGAATGGCCAAGGTGATGATGATGTGGCGCACGCTGGAGAAACTGAGGCTGGAGGGGGGTGTTTGTGGTTCTTCATAGGCAGCTTCTGCCCGCCACGCTTGCCTGAAGGGCTTGGACCATAGTTGGAGACCTCAGAGCTGTCGTTGAGGGGGGAGGCTGCCCCTCCTGATGCTGCTTTGAGGTCTTGAAGTAGAGCCCGGTGGTGGAGGGGTGGTTGAGGTCTCCCAGCATGGAGCAGGGGAAGGTCCCATCCGTCTGCCCGCCCCGTTGCAGGGTAACTCGGGGTAGTGAACTCGTACTGAGCTGTTTGTCTGCTCTCCCACGTGGCGTACGAGGCTGTGCGGGTGGCGGTTGCCGTGATGGATGTGAGGTGTTGCCTGCGGCCTGCCACCGCGGATGGGTTTTACTTGAACCCGCTCTGTTCCCCACTAAACCAGTTTGCCTTTTGCATGCAGAGATAACAAAATTGCCACTGTGGGACACGGAGATAAAGTGAAGCCAGATCTAACCCGAGTCGGCGTGGGCAGCGCGAGCGCATGGTGAGGAGAGGGCTCATTCAGCTGCATCAAAAAGGTGCTGCCGAGTAGTTTAATTCACAGCACTTTGAGCTTTAAATTCTTCTTCTATGAGTTGATAAGAACATGAATATTATTCATAACTCTCTCCTCAAAAAAAGGCAAATCTGCAAATGCCTTCAGTTACGAATCAGAGCTTCAACAGCATGAAAAACTCACCCAACCTTCTCCAAATAATCCCTTCCTTTGGCCCTGCTCCCTCCATCCCTGAAGCTCTTTGCTTCCTGCTGCCTGCCCCGAGGTCAGTGGGAGCGGATCAGGAATCCTGGGCTGGTGATTCCAGGCAGGAGCCCCAGAACTGGGGTTTTTAGGGAATGTTGGAAGCTGAAGGTAGTGATCCAGGCTGGGAAGTGTCTGGCTGGAACAGAAACTTGTGAGCTCTGGAGTAGTAAAGCTCAGGCCGGTTTCTTTCCTGCAGAGTACGTTAGACAATGAGCTGGCACAATCCAAGGGCTCTCTTTGTGAAACTGTTGTGGGTTTCTTTTGCTCTTCCCCTCTTTTTCCAATTGTTTGCTTTATAATTTGAGTGATTATTTTCTCTTTGCCATCAGCCAGCAAACGGGAATTGTCTTTTCCCCCCTTTTCCCTCCGACTTACAAACTCTTTAGACTTCTGGGTCTGCTCCAACGTAATTCCCTTGGACTTTTTTCTAGCTTGGGTACCATTGCCTTGGCTTAGCAATGGATGGCGCTTGGCATTCCCGTTGCAATCTCTCTCTGTGCTGTCGGATTATTTGCTGCTCGTCTGAACAAGCCCTTGCGGAGCCGCGTGTCCTGCCTGCAGAGCCCTCTGCCAGGGCCGTGCCCCGGGGCGCCCAGCCTGCTGCATCACCCACGCCAGGTGCTGAGCCCGTGCTGCCTGCGCGGTAAGGAGCTGGTTGGGAGTCTCCTTAAGCTTTATTTAATGAAGCCTCTTGGCTCCCGTCCTCCCACCCGCTCCCGAGGGCAGGCGCGTGGCTCCCACACGCCCGTGCGAGCAGCGCACACGGGTGCAGGAGGAGGAGGAGGAGGAGGTGCTGCGGTGCAGAGGAAGGGGATGGGTGCTCCTGTGTCACCCTGGGGGGTGCAGGCACGCGGTGCAAGGGGCATTGTGCACACACTGAGCTCCTTAAAGGAGGTGCGGGTCTTTAGAGCCATTTAGGGATGCTCTGCTGCTCTGTCTCTGGAGACAAGGGGTGGTGATGAGGGTGATGGCAGCCCAGCTCGTAGGGGTGGGGACACACAAGGACACGATGCTGGGATCCCTCCCTACTCCTGGGACTTGCTGGCTGCATCAGTGACTTCTGCCCTGCCCTGGGGAAGTGAGGCTTGGCCGTATCCCAGTCCAGCCTGCTGCAGCCCTGGGCTATATAGGACTCACCTGGGTTTGTGTACTTTGGGTTTGGAAAGCTTTGAAGATGACTTTTGCACAGCTCCTGGTGTAGCAGAGCGTGGTTCCGGAGCCCTGCTGCATGGACATGGCCAGCCCAGAGAGAGATGTGATTTTAGCATTGCTTTCTTCCATACCTTATTCCAGCTCAGGCCATTGCAGTTTGATTGTTGGTGTACAAATAGGATCTGTCGTAACGTCCGTGCTCCAGTTCCCTGGCAGCGTTTCCACAGAGCTGCTCTAGATTAGAAAGCAGATAGTAGTTTGCCTGAACAGGTTTAAAAACCCATCGAGTTAAACTGGGCCGGGCAACCCATCCGATGTTAAACCAATGTGGGTGTGCACATCTGCATACGTCATGAAATGGTTTGGGTGGGGAAGGCTGGGGCTGCTTCTGCCCAGCTCCTGGAGGTCCAAGCCCCTGTGTCCAACCTGGCCTTGAGCACTGCCAGGGATGGGGCAGCCACAGCTTCCCTGGGCACCCTGTGCCAACGCCTCTATTTACCCAGCT